TGGATTCTCGTCCTACTTGTGTCATTTACTTTGGATCTTAGGTAAGTGACTATGTGCTCAGATTACTCATCTCTGAAATGATAATAATATATATACATGCCTGACCTACCTCCCGGGATTGTTGTATGAAATGAGCTAATGTATGTGAAAATCCTTTGAGAACAGGAAAGGCTTTTTAAAGAACTGTTCTTATAAGAACCTCACCCCATTCATGCACCTAGTAAAGCACACCAGCATCAAGAAGGTCTTCCATGGTGTGTTTCCCTGGGAAATGGGCCCCTTCTCACCTCCTTTCTCCAGGAGAGGCTAGCTGGCTGACTTCCTGGGAAACGTCTGATGAATAACCGAGGTCCAGGGTCGGGCCCTCAGCTTTGCAGCATCAGAAACTAGATCTTGGCAGCCTCTGAGTTGATCAGACTCAGAGATGCTGACTCATTCTAATCCACATGAGACTGATATATAACCAGAATGCCAGTTTATTAATTTACAATGGGAAACATTTGGCCTGAAATGCCCCTTTTCTCCCTATAGACCAGCTGCATGGGAAGAGAGATCACCTGAAAGTTGCTCAATGAACAAGGAACTTTGACAAAGGGAGTTACATTATTCAAATGTTGGATAACAGAGGGCTCTGTTCAGCTGGCACATCTGTCTCAACAGGAATCTGTTCCAGATGATCTAGATGTTTCAGGCACTGTGGTGGAAGCCCCCAATCCTGAACCATGCACACAAGAGCCAGAGTGTACCATGTGTACCCTTTTCTCCACATTCCCTCTGTTGACCAATACACTGCTCTTTGTATATATTAATCCTTTTGAGACTTCTTGCAGTGCAACTATGGTTCCCAAAGCCAGTCTGCTGACCAGGGTGAAGCTGGTTGCCACAAAAGCACCTAGGATACATATAAAGAAATATGGGCTTTTATAGCTCTACTGGAAATTCTAATAATTAGGTCTGTGGAGGGGTTTAGGAATATGAATGTTTACAGGTATCCCAAGTGACTCTGATCATCAGCTAGGTTGAGGAACCACTGATATAACAGTCTTATTTGGCTAAAAATCTATTCTGTCACTTTAAGATGACTTTGCATATTCTGATCAGATCCATTGCAGACTGATTGTATAGATTAACTCTCAAAACAAAACATTACTTCCTAGTTCTCAAAGGCCAATCACTGTTGTATCTTTGAGCTTGCTTCCTTCCTTCTTTCCTTCCCTCTTTCCTTCTTTTCCTTCTTCCCCCATTCCCTTTCTCCCTTACATAAATATTTATAAATATGTAATGCATAAAGAAGCTTACCAAGAGGCGGTTGTAACAGTTGACACTCCAAGAGCCAAAACCAAAAGCTGCTTTTAGGTGATAATAGACTTGGAGGATTAGGATATATAAGCCTGGTACACAGACAGCTCTAAGGCCAGCCAGTAATACCAAGGCCTGACATTGAACAATCTTGAGATAATTTCTCTGTGGTAAGCAACCCTAGGCCTTGGCATGCTTCTGAGTTGATGTTCTATAGGAAACAATGTTATGCTTCCAAGTGACCTTGAGGGAAACTCCAAGAACCATGTTCCCATCCCACTCATGGCAAAGCAGACAGCTGTCTTTCCTCTTAAATATGGTTCACATGTCGCTAGCACCTGGTGGTGCCTTGCTTCCAGCAGAGCACCAAAATCAGGACAGCAAAGTGAGAATCAACTCTAAGGAGGGATGCCAATGTGTGATGCGCATCTCTTTAAACCAGGCTCTTTGTTCCCATACTATATATCCTATGTACCACAAAAATCACTGAAAATAGGTTTTGATATCTCCATTTTCCAGATGAAGAAATTGAGGCTCAAAGGGATTAAGTAACTTGCTAAATAGAGGTCATGCAAACAGCAAGTGGTGGAATTGGGATTTGAATCCAAGCTCACTCCATTCCAAATTCTATGTTCTTTCCACAATCCCATTCTGCTTGGTAAACAGGGAGGTTGGAAGTGAGAGTTTTGAACATAAGCCACATTTGCTATGTGTACATATTTATAGATAATTCTTATAATTTCTCTATACAAAATGACACATATATATAAATACATATTTTTCAAATATTTCATAACAACAGCTATCACATTCCTACATATAAAATATACTAGCATCTAAATCTGCATTTGGTTAATCCTGATTCTTTTCTCAGCTGGAAAAAGGTGGCTACAATTGGGGATAGTATTGAGTGTCAGGATACCTAGTTCATAGTCCTGGCTCTGCCTTTCACTCACTGTATACCTTGGGAAATTCCTTTTTCCTTTCTGAGATTCATTTTCATCATCTGTCAAAGGAAGGGTTGGATTAGATCTTTTACATGCTAGGATTCTAAAACTCTGGTAACATTGTTACCATGTTTCCTAATAGTTTTTGATCACAGCACAGAAATTGAACAGTAGAAAAAGAAAGCTGAACATATATATTAGAAGGCTATTTAATAATAACTAATATTTATTGAGCACTGTTTATATGCCAAGGACTGTACTAACTAGTTTGTATTATTTTGATTACTTCTTATCACATCAACTCTATTCTTATTTATCCATCTCTTAGGAATAGAAAGATAAGTAATTTGCCCAAGATCACATGGCTGGTAAGTGGATAAGCCAATACTGAAATTAAGTCTATGGCCAACTCCCAAATATAGTCCTAGCCTCCACTCTTGCTTTACAGCTCTCACTCTGATGACTGTGTAGGACATTTATTAAAGTTGCATTTGAGATGATCTGATCTTGGGCCATGAGGAAAAAGGAGAACACATATCAGCCCATGTAAGAGATTTTCCTAGAATCTATTGTTATGATTATCTCCCTTAAGAAAGGGAGCTATAAAAGTTATATAGAATATGTTCAGGTTCAGAGAGTCAACTGCATCAGAGAAAACATTATACAGGTCAGCAGGCCCTGGACATAAAATTACTTCTATTCCTTAATATTATTAGTTAGCTTTGTTTTCCTAACACCAAGGCCATAAAAGTTAGGTCCCAGTTTCTCTACCTGGGTCTAAGTAGGAGGAAATAAATCAAGAAGGAGAAGAACTTTTCTGGCTGTTACTGATCCTGTGTAGGTAAAGACAAGTGGGAGGAAGTAATGGTTGCTGGCGGTTCGATCAAGAACCATCAAAAGGCTGAATTCTGCATGGACTGGAGCTGCTGTATTTGATATCCACCCTATTCAAATAGTGCCTTGATATCCACCTATTGCCTCTGATCTCACTGGACAGGGAAGTTGGGTGGCAAGGCTGAGCCATGGTCTAGGATGAACTATAAACACATCATGAACCATTTCAGTCCCCAAAGGATAGTACATGGACAAAACTACAAGAATGTCCAATCTTGGGACCAGGGATGGAATAGAGAGAGAGTTACCAGTAATGTCACTACTTCTTTCTGTTTTCTTCCTTGCTCACTACCCACATTAAGTAGGACTCCTTTTCTTCTTTGTGTGCTTTGCATTACATGTCATGCAGGTGGGTTGGAGAGAAGTGAAAAAGGCTGTCTATAAATTGCTGTACTAATTTAGAAGTCATTTTGCATCGCGTACTCAAGCCTACACTTTCAATAATGTCAGAAAAGTTTGCTTTCCTTTTGCAATGCATCGATAGGTTAAATGGCATTTTTACTAAACCTACAGGTGACACAAAGCTGGAAAGTAAACTTATAGCTACAGAGCTAAATCAGAATTCAAAATTGTCTAGACAGTCTGGAGTTTCTTGTCTAACTCAATAAGATGGAATATATCAGAAATAATTGTGGAATTCTATATTTAGGCTAAAAAGACAACCATCATGTAAGTTCAGTATGGAGATGATTACCCAAACAGCATTTGTTCATATGAAAGGGCTGGGAACTTTAATCATCCACAAGTTGAATATCTTCCAACATTATGATGTGTCTGACGGAAAAAAAAACAACCCAATCTTTGACTGCATGAAGTAAATTGAAGGAGAGATTATAGGAAACCGTGGTTCTACTGCAGTGGGCTGTGGTCGGACCACGCTGAAGTACTGGGTTCTGTGGTAGATACCACAATGCTTGGGGGATTTTGACCAACTAGAAGAAAAGTAATGGGGTGGTAAGGGTCAGGAAATCAGGAATAGTTGACAGAAATGATCACATTTAGCCTGTAGAAGAAAAAAAGTCAAAGGAATACCATATCCTTGTCTGTAAATATTTAAAAGGCTCTTGTGTGACAGGCAGAATAAATTTGTTCTCCCCTGTCAAGATGTAGAGCTGGATTAAAGAGCAGCAGTTAAAGAAGGCAGATTTCAGTACAACATAAGCAAGAGCTTGTCAATACCTAAGCCATTGTCCTAGAGAGAGAGAGCTCGCAGCATCTAGATGTATTATAGCTATGGCTACCTTGAAGGAGACCTTTACACTGGGCAGAGGTGAAGTGAGAAGAAGACACCACTGTCTCTGGCCAGGACTGGATTCATTGCTCTCATTTCACCTGATATTTCATATATATTCTGGGCCTCAACTTGGAAGTCGTCAATTTTGCCTGAAGAATCAGGCCTGAGGATTCATAGCCCATGACTTTCTGAGCAGGGACTACCACTTTGGAACACCTGAGCTTATAATATAGCCCCTTGCTTAGGAATTCTCTGTACAGTGAAAATCACTCTCTTGTACTTACCCATTTGCCTAATAACAGAAGGGCTCACTTTGCTTCTTGAACATATATTAGGCACTTATTTTTTTAATTAATTAATTTATTTTTTGTGAGACAGTTTCGCTCACTCTGTCAGCCTGGCTGGAATGCAGTGAGTGGTGTGATATCGGTTCACTGCAACCTTTGTCTCCAGGTTCAAATGATTCTCCTGCCTAAGCCTCTTGAGTAGCTGGGATTACAGGCATGCATCACGACAACCAGCTAATTTTTGTATTTTCAGTAAAGACAAGGTTTCAACATGTTAGACAGGCTGATCTCAAACTCCTGACCTCAAGCAATCACGACAACCAGCTAATTTTTGTATTTTCAGTAAAGACAAGGTTTCAACATGTTAGACAGGCTGATCTCAAACTCCTGACCTCAAGCCATCCGCTTGCCTTGGCCTCCCAAAGTGCCACCATTCCTGGCCACATATTTCTGCTATAGAAATATTTTACTACTCCATAGACTGTACTTTTATTTCTTTGAGTTTCATTTGTTAATTTCTAGACACTTTTTCTGCTTTTAAACATGATGAACAGAACTTTGATAATATAATAATTTTAATAATGCTTAGAATTATTACATGAAAAGAAATGAAAGTTTCTCCTCTGAGGCTTGGCTGTGCTGGCACCAATAATGCCAGGAGACTTCATCCTATAACGTACATCTATTTAGCACCCAAAGAGAGTCGCTATTATGCCCCAACCCATCTTTATCCTATTAGGAAAGGCAGCTAGTCTCATTCTTAAAATCTATCATCCAGGTGCTTAGGGGAAATACAATCTAAATTTCTTTTCAGGAGATGTAAGAGATTGGAAAACTGGTCCTTTGGTTTTTCATACACTATTCAACACAACACTTCTGACACTGGATGTGTGGATTTATTTCCCTATACACCAAATAATTTTCCATTAGACATCAGGGGGTTGTCTTACAATTCAGCTCTGACACATCTCCCTAGAGTTAGAGTCAGATCTCACAGGTCAAGGCTCAGTCTCTCAAGACTGCTTCTCACTCCAGATGCCAATGGCAAGTCCCAGGTTGCAGCCCATACTTCTGACTGGCTATAAATTGGCATACCCATGACCCCTCTCTTCAGGTTTTATCAGTTTGCTAAAGTGGCTCACAGAATTCAGGGAAACGTGTTTACCCATTTATTGTAAAGGGTTTTACAAAGGATACAGAAGAACAGTCAGACGGAGAGATGCCTAGGGCAAGGCAGGTGGGAAAGGGTGCAGGGCTTCCACGTCTGCTCTCAGCAGACCACCCTTCAGGCACCTTTATGTGGTCGGCTCTCCAGAGGCTCCCTGAACCCACTTCTCTTGGGTTTTTTGGAGGTTCCATTACATAGGCATGATTGATGATATCACTGGCCATTGGTGATTAACTTAACTGTTAGCCCCTCTCACCTCCTGGGAAGTCGAATGGTGGAACTTAAAGTTCCAATCCTCTAATCACAGGATTGGTTTCCCTGGCAAACCAATGGAGGTGGGGTTTTGCCATGCTGCCCAGACTGGTCTCAAACTCCTGAGCTCAAGCAATTCTCCCCGCCCCCACAACTGGCTTCCCAAAGTACTGGGATTATAGGCATGAGCCACTGTGCTCAGCCATCTTCTCATTTTTATAACAGTTGAATTCCCTAAAATAAGTCTGCGATTAAGTTTCTAGTTTCAACATCTTACAACCAAATAAATGTAGTATTTAAGAGTTCTCACTTTAATGTCAGACAGACCAGGGCTCATATACAGAGCACTGACTGAGAAGTTACTTAATTTCCTTAGTTTCCTTATATGTAAATTCACAGATTTGTAAAAAGGATTAAGTGAGATATATATGTAATGTGCTTAGCACAGTACCTGGCCCAGAGTCAGTGCTCAGGAAATGTTAGAGCTCATTAATATGTATTATAATCAAATAAAATATGAGAAGACTGAAAATAGAAAGAAGAAAAAAATCACCCATAGTTCCAACACCTGAACTGATTTTGAACTATTTTCATTTCGTCTTTTATCTGTGTGTAAGTGAAAGAAATGTTATATATGATTCTGAGAGGCAGTCCTGGTAGCCAGAATGCCCTTTGTTTGCCAAGTCATCATAGGTGGTGGGGTTAAAATCTGGAGGTGGAAGCTGGGGTGTGTGAGTGCAGAACTGCTCTGCATAATGATGGGAAAAGGCAAATGAGATTCTGTAAGGGATAAATAGTTTAATCTCTGGATTAGGTCTTTTAAGCACTTCCTAAAGACAGAGAAGGAAGCCATTAAGTGTTCTGAGTCTTAGAACTGCCGCTGTCAGACTAGATCACTTTTGTGATATCTCGTATACCAGTTTCCAATTTGCTGAAGGTATTGAGTCCCTGAGAGCTGAGCCTGAGACACTTGTGCCAAGAGTCCTTTATCAATCCTTCTATCTCTTCCAAGTCATTCTTTTCTAACCCATTCCTCCTAGGGCAGCCGTAGTGATCTCTTCCATGCTTCCCTATCTCAGGTCAGGCCCTTTTGAAAGTGGGCATACTCATGAGCCATCTTAAATCACATTAGTCAGTAGTGCTGCTAATGCCTTATTAGTAGAGAATCTGGACCAGAAAGATTGCTTTCCTATGGGCTTGGGTAAAAGCCACTAGAACCCAAAGAGACAATACTTGTCCTCTCAGAATCATATAACCAAAAGCTAATGTTACTGAGTGATGGTCTAGGGAAAAAAATTATTTACTACTAAAATCTAGGAGGCAATATTTTAATTTGATAGTTTACTTTTATTTCTATTCACAGATTGAACATTTTAGAGTGGTTTGAAGGTTATCACTTCTCTATGATGTTCTCTCAGTCTCTATTTGATAAGCGATTTGAGATTACTAATTTAGTTTATGAACCTATGGAAGAAGAATGTGAATGGAAACCAGATGAAGAAGATGAGATTTTGGAAGAGTTGAAAGAAAATGTCAAGATTGAAGATGTGAAAAAGGATGAAGAAAAAGAAGACCCCAAAGGAATTCATGAATTTTGGTTAACTGTTTTTAAGAATGTTGACTTACTCAGTGATATGGTTCAGGAACATGATGAATCTATTCTGAAGCACTTGAAAGATAATAAAATGAAGTTCTCAGATGCTGGCCAGCCTATGAGTTTTGTCTTAGAATTCCACTTTGAGCCCAGTGAATATTTCACAAATGAAGTGCTGACAAAGACATATAGGATGAGGTCAGAACCAGATAATTCTGATCCCTTTTCTATTGATGGACAAGAAATTATGGGTTGTACAGGGTGCCAGATAGATTGAAAAAAGGAAAGAATGTCACTTTGAAAACCATTATGAAGAAGCAGAGACACAAGGGATGTGGGGCAGTTCGTACTGTGACTAAAACAATTTCCAATGACTCTTTAATTTTTCTGCCCTTCCTGAAGTTCCTGAGAATGGAGATCTGGATGATACTGCGGAAGCTATTCTTGCTATAGACTTTGAAATTGGTCACTTTTTATGTGAGCATACAATCCCAAGATCAGTGTTATACTTTACAGGAGAAGCTACAGAAGATAATGATAATGATTATGATGAAGAAGTGGATAAGGAAGGGGATGAAGAAGGAGATGAGGAAAATGATCTAGACAATGACCCAAAGAAGGATCAAAACCCAGCAGAGAGCAAGCAACAGTGAAGCAAAATGTATGTGGCCTTGAGGATAACCTGCACTGTAATAGCCTAAACACAACTCTTATTTACTTACAGCCTTATGTTTTTGTATTTTCTTGGTAGACTAGGTAATCTTTTAAAGGGCAGAAAACTGATATTTTAAAGACCAATTTGTTCTCCCCAGCATTTTAGCTAGTTTTTCTGCCAGATAGATTGAATGCACAAGTTCTGTCATTCATGTTCATTCACTGCTACATAATTTGGTTTTTCTGGAATATTTTTATGTAGCTCTTGGAGTACATCTATGCATCTATGAATTAACAACTGTTAAAGGAAACACTTTTTTTTCATAATTTTTTCCTTGAAGAACAAAGTATATTTTCAGCTGGTTATTGAATAGGGTTAAGTCTGCTTGGATTAGCTGTGCCTTTCATTACTTTGTTACAGAAATGCAGTGACTTCTACTAGGACAATTTATTCTTTAAAAAAAATGGCAAGACAACCATATGGTTAAGAATTTCCAGTATGACCACACCCAATAACTGTATTAGATTGTTAATCAATTATTGTGTTATAGGTGACATAGTTAACTGAAAGTAACCTGATTCAGTATAGCTACTGGTATCACAGTGAGGTGAATAAAACAGGATTTTCAGAAGTTAGCCTGAATTTAACTATATTTTTAAATTTAACCTACATTAACTATCTTTTATTTGTGGTAGGGTCTACCTTCTGCTTCCCTGGAAAGGATGAATTTACATCATTTGACAAGCCTATTTTCATTATTTGTTGTTTGCTTGCTTTTGCAGCCTAAAATAAAAATTTCAAATACAATTTTAGTTCTTGCAAGATAATGTCTTAATTTTGTACCAATTCAGGTAGAAGCAGAGGCTTAGCTTGAATTAGGGGTTATACTCAGTTTTTACTGCCTTATTGAAGAAAACGATACCAGCTTTATTTAATAAGCAAATGTAAAAAAAAAAGAAGAAGAAAAGAAGGAGAAGGAGAAGAAGAAAGAAGAAGAAGAAGGAGAAGGAGAAGGAAGGAGAAGGAGAAGGAGAAGGAGAAGAAGATCTTAAGTGATTTGATACTTTTTTTTTAATTGAAGTTCATTTCTTTGGGTTAGAGCTAGAGAGAAGGCCTGAAGCTTCTGTGGTTTCTTCTAATTCTTATTGCTTTGAGTATATCACTTACCCATGATTCTGTTTACTATGTATTAAAATGGGTAGTATTATTTACTTAACTACCTTATGGATGTGTTAAGGCATATTGAGTTAAATCTTATAAAATGCTTCTCAATCCCATTAAAAACTCAAAATTTTAGGCCTATTTGTAATGCCAGTGTAACGCTCAGCATTTCATTCATACTACGCTTTGATAACTAAACTGGAAAATGAAGGTTAAGTACCTCTACTCTGGATCTGGGCAGGCAGCATTCTTTTAGATCTTTGTATGGCTCCTATTTTTACAGAAATGGATGGATGCACTATTTCACAAGGCCCAAGAATTTTTTTCAGATATTTTTGATGACTGTATTTTAGTAAACACTATAGGAAAAGCACTATATAGTATTGTAGTCATGAGACTAAAGTGGTAATCAGACTATTTTTGACAAAATATGTAATTAAATTTCAGACTGTAGAGCCACGTTTACAATGCCTCAGGCTAATTGTAATTTTGGGGTTGAACTTTTTTTGATGTCAGTGAGGATGGACTGGATTGTCATTAGAGGAAGGTCTAGATTTCCTACTCTTAATAAAATTACATTGAATTCATTTTTAGAGGTGATGAAAACTTCCTTTTTCAGAAGTTAATGTTAAGGTCTTGGAATGTGAACACATTGTTTGTAGTGCTATCCATTCCTCTCCTGAGATTTTAACTTACTACTGGAAATCCTTATCAATTATAATACCTTTTTTCTCTTTATTTTCAAAATTATTTCCTTTGCTCTGATTAGACACTCTTTTTCTTTCTTTTTTTTTTTTTTTTTTTTTTTTGGTAACTGTAGTTCATCTAAATGCAGTTTTTTCTGAACTTTACAGATAGAATCCCATTTTTAATGAACTGAAGTAGTAAAATCATCTTTTTCATTATTTTAGGAAATAGCTATTGCCAAAGTGAAGGTGTAGATAATACTTAGTCTTGTTATATAATGGGGATGTGGTTTGCAGAAGAATTTTCTTTATAAAATTGAAGTTTCAAGGGATGTCAGTGTTTATGCCATTTTTCTAGTTCCAGAATGATTCCATTCCATTCTAGAAATTTGAATTATGTAACTTGAAATCCTTAATAAAATTTTAATTTAATTTTATAAAACAAAAATGAAAGTTACTACTCCATTAAGTAAATCTGAACCCTAAAGACTGAAGATCCTGTATGTTGCTAGAGTTATAACTCAATTAGAAAGATAAAGAGGTAAAAAGAATGAAATGGAATAGTCCCTCTCTATTTCTATGGCTAACCTTTGGGAAAATTTTTTTTATAGGAACAGAAGCTTCTTCATTAGCCATCTATGGAAAGATTTTAGGCTGAGTCCAATTCACAGTGATTACCCTTTACTAGAACCATGGGGGAACGAGTCACTCAGTTTGATAGAGATTGTTAGGAAGCGGGGGAAAATAAATTTGGAAATCTTAGATAAAAATCATTTGAGAAGATGTTAGAGAATGTCCTACAAATAAATAACACATGTAAATGTTCTATTAAGCATTTGGTAGAAAGCTGGCCAAGATGATCCTTAGCAGGTGCATAAACTAAATTGGGGTGGGGATGGGAGTGAGGACAGGTAAGATTTGGAAGCAGCAACAGTTTCCCAGGCAAAGCTAGGATATTTTGGGGAATGCAGCTGGAAACAGTGGCAGTGTAAGAGGAAAAGAGCACAGCACTATGATTCTAGAGTGTCAAGCCCAAAGTGTCCAATACCTGAGGTTCTGGCTTTGCCAAGTTACCAACATGGAAGGTAGGGGTGCGTAGAGATGACTGGGGAATCCCAGGTAACAAAAGATTCAGGCTCAGAAGAGCCATTATGGAATTCAAGGGAAGCTTTCCTTGTACATATTTCAGGATTATTTGGCTCCTATATTAACTAGTACTTTTTAGCTTCAAGTAAAAAACAGCCTAATAAAAAGTGTGGATTAAGTAAAATGGAAATGCGCTTTTCTCTCAAACAATGGAAAGTTGAGCAGTTGTTAGTCTAGAACTCATATAGAAGCAACCAGAATGTCAGCGAATTCCAGCCTTATTCTTTCAGATGTCAACATCCTTAGCATCTAGTTTCCATCTTCAGTATTGCTTCATGTTCACAGTTAGTTACTGCAGCTCCAACCATTACATCCACCATACAGGGAGGAGGAAGGAGGAAGAGGGGAAAGCAGACATATGCTTATCAGATAAGTCAGCCAGTGCCCTTTAAAGTGCATTCTCTGCAGTACTCCACCCTGTAATTTCTGCTTACCTCCTTTCACCAAATCTGTTTGATATGACCAATCCTAACTAAAAGAATAGCTGTGGAAGTAGAGTTCTTCAGCTTAGCATTAAGTTGCCTTCAATAAAATTGGAGTTCTCTTAGAAAGATAAAAGGGAGTTATGGACATTAAATTTGCAATTAGAAATCTCTTCCACAACGTCCTAACCAAAGGATGGCTGAAAAATTATTTCCAACTCCCAATTATGTGTTGGGAGAGGCTCTAGATGTATTGATATTCTTGGGATGCTTTTTCATTGATTCAAGGAAAGGACAAGGCAGTTTATAGACAGCTTATTCCAACACTGGGTTTGAACTAAGTTGAATTAAGGAAAAATAATGATAATAAAAAGGGGATGCCTACAGGAACAGTCTGAAGGAAGTGAACTAATATGGTTTGGCTCTGTGTCCCCACTGAAATCTCATTTTGTAGCTCTCATGTGTTGTAGGAGGGACCTGGCAGAAGATAATTGAATCATGGGGGTGAGGCTTTCCTGTGCTGTTCTCATGATAGGAATAAGTCTCATGAGATCTGATGGTTTTAAAAATGGGAGTTTCTCTGCACAAGCTCTTTCTTTGCCTGATGCCATCCATGTAAGACATGACTTGCTTCTCCTTGCCTTTCACCATGATTGTGAGGCTGCCCTAGCCACATGGAACTGTAAGACCATTAAGCCTCTTTCCTTTGTAAATTGCCTAGTCTTGGGTATGTCTTTATCAGCCGTATGAAAGCAGATTAATACATGCATCATAATGGTTACAGAGTTGCGTGAGGTGATGGGATCATAACTTTTTAGTTTTCTGTTATGCATTTGTATTATTTCAAATGTTCTTGTATTCTTTTGATTTCCTATTGAATTCTTTTTTCCTATTTTAAGACTCTCTGGAGAAGGAAGGCATTTGGGCCAGCCTACTTAAAGTGAGACATATGCCCAATGTGCAAATTAGGCCAAAAGGCCACAAAATGTGTTTAGGAAACAAACCAGGGCATGAGAGATTGCACTTGTATAAACATATTGTGTGTGTGTAATATTGATCTCCATGTCACAAAGGAGCCATAAGGAGCTGGCAAAGGCTCCTGGGAAGGAAAATTAGAGGATGAGAAAGCTACTCCATGAAAGTTAGTGTAGAGTAGGTGGCACATTTGGAGGCCTGCAGTAGAAGGACCTGCAGTCTTTTCCCACTCTTCCCCTTAACCAGCTGCATGATCCTGGGGAAAGTAACCTATTTAGTCTTGGATTTTTAACCTATAAAATGGGAAAATAGAACAAGATGATAATTAAAATCCTTTGATATCGAAATAATTTTATTTTCCATAATTGTTGACCCAAAAGATAAAATGATGAAATATTTCAGGAGGTGAGGGTAAAGGGGAATGAAAGTAGACAAGTAGCCTAACATGTGAAGAGGTTTCACCAAGAGTAAAACACTTAGAATAACATGAAAGTAAGAAAACCATCTGGAGGCAATTTTAGGTGCATAGTAGCTATATGGAACCTCTTTGGATTGGGAGATTTACCCAATTTATGAATCAAATTCTATTGTTGAATTGAACATCCTGATTGCAATTCTAGTACCAGGAGGGGATTCCTTATGTGCATCTGGTTGTAGCCACCCAATTAAAATTCCCACAAAAAGGAATTAATTTTATAACTATCTAAGTCAATGAAATGGACTAATCCCATTAGGAAGATTTCTAACACAATTATTTTTAAATAGCATTATTTCCACAATTCTTTTAGCTTTGCCATATAGCTTTCCCTAATGTTCGTTCTTCCAATCCCAAGTCCTTTTATTTTTAAACCTCTACAAGTCTTTCCCTATTTAAATTTAGGAACATCCCCTGATCAATTTATCTTACTTTTCTAATTGCTTTTTAATTGAATTATATGTACTTTTAATTGGAAAATTCAGTGTGTGTGTGTGTGTGTGTGTGTGTGTCTGTGTGTGGGTACACATTGTACATGCAAGAGAGTGCTATGGTTCTTCTCAAACATTTTTCTGGAAAATATAATATAACATACTGCTGTAATGAGATTGTTTTTTCAAATGCAAATCATGCCCTGAATTCTGCAGAAGAAATGGAGTTTCTCTCCCTGCTCTATCAGACGAATTACAATTATTTTGTTACAACAGCTCTTCCTTGAACAAAACCTTGCTCATTCTTCCTGCCTCCAGCAACTTGAAGATGAGGTAAGTTTGTTTCCTGGGTTGGTGGGTAAGCCAATGAGCAGAATGTTAAGGAAGAGGAAGAAGAGTAGTGGAGATTTAGTCCAAATTTAGTGGAAATTCAGGCTCCTTTCCTTCAACTGTGACCTCAATACATCCTCTACTCTTTGATCTCCCTAAGCCTCAGCCTTCACATTTCTTTGATATATTCAG